TGTTGTTGTTTTTAAATTTCGTAACGGTTTCCGTTTGTTCTTCGTTTTTGCATAATAATAATAATAATAATAAGTTTTTAAAAAAAATTCCCACGGGTTCGTCTCGACTGCAAATTTTTTTTTTTTTACCGAATTTGATGATCGCATGATGGATGTTTGAGATTTTCGCGGTTTTTCGCGGTTGGTACCCGTGATTTTATTTTTTAAATGTTGTCGGTTTTTCATTGAATAATCAGAGGAGAAAAAAAAAAAAAAAGAAAATTTTCCTTTCGATTTTCCATAGTATTTTTCCGATTCTGTGCGAGACCGAATAACAAAAAAAAAAAAATGCAATAACGAAAAACGTTAACCGTCGTAAATTTTCCACCGTTAAAAAAAAAAAAACTCGTTTTGCTGTTTCCTCCCCTTCTCCTCCCCTCCCCCTGTTATTTTTATTTAATAAGTCCTTGATAATTATTTTATTTAAAAATTATGCCAGGGCATTAATTCCGACAGCTCCGTTAAATATCATTAAATTGTCCTCTAAAGTGACTCATTTTCTTAAAAAAAAAATTCCTGCCGAATCCGTTTTATTTTCGTCTCAGCCTGTTTGTCTGTCTTTGTCACACGACAATATTAAAATAATAATAATAATGATAATGATAATAAATAAAAAGCTTCCGTCATTTAAAACAACCGTTGTTGAAAAGTTTGAACAAAGTCCAAATCTAAGGGTATTTCACCTTTTTAATTCAGGTAAAATTCTTTTATCTTATTTAAAATATTCCCCCTCCCCGTTTGCCGCCTCCTCTCCCCCGCCATCCTCGTTCGCCCTCCCCCTCCCTCTCCCCTCTGTACCCCTTTGATTAAAGACCAGTTTAATAATTACCTTTATTTTAACGATGGAAAATTTTTTAAATAAAAGATTATCCAGATACGAACGAACACAAATCAAATATTAAATAATAATAATAATAATAATAAATGGTAAACGCCTTAGACGATTTGAAATCAAATGAAAAGTTCAGGATGCACAAGCAAGGACGTGTGAAAGAAAAATTTTTTTTTCGTAAGTAAAAAAAAAAGCAGTCGACGTTTTACCTTCGTATTTAATAATATCCAGTTTAATAAATGCATTAATTACGCGGTTTATTATTGCCTTAAAAAAAAAAAAAACGCAATTTGAACGCACGCGTAATTTTTCTTCGATTAATTATCGATTATAAATAAAAGAATATATATTATTATTATTATTATTACATTTACAATCCATACAAAACAATTAAATTTATATATATATTTCTAGTTTTTCAATCGGCATTTTACAAGAAAAGGGAAACATTAATTTCATCTTCTTATTATTATTATTATTCTTATTCTTCTTTTCTCGTTCCACGTTATTTTGTAATTGACACGATGAAATGATGGAAACTCGAGTAAAACGTTATTCACGTGATACGAATTGAGTAATTTTTTATTTAAAAAAGTGGTTTTAGGGTATTTAGAATTGGTAAATACATTTTAAAAACCTGATCATTTGCAAAACTTTTTTTTTATTTTTTTATTTTTTATTACGATTATAATAATTTAATAAAAAATTACTGTGCGTGTGCGTGTGTATATGCGTGTGCGTGCCTGTGCGTACGTCAAGTAATAAATTAACTTATTATAAATTTGTGAAAAGGACGCGAATGTGACGTGGTCGCGGTCGCGGTCGGACGTATCCGTTCGTTAATTTTATTTAGGTCAATAATTAATAACCATTTCCGGTTTAGAGTGGACAAGTAAGTGCTTGCGTGCATTTCGTATACAAACGAGGTTTTCCCGTCAGTCCGTCTAAGTTTTTTTTTTTTATGTATGTCGGTTAGATTTGTCGTGGAACGAACGAACGAACGAACGTCATCATCGCCACCCTTCGCGAGACGTATGAATACATAATACCTGAATGCGATAACCCAAATAACCCGTACCTACTATCGTAATCAACCGCGCAACGTAATTGAAATTATGGCTTTTGTTTCGTCAAATCTTGACCAAAAAATTTTTTGTTCCCTAGAAAAATCACAAACCACAAATACGCAGTAGAAAAAAGGAAAAAACTCGCAATAGAATCTCTCTCTCTCTCTCTCTCTCTCTCTCTCTAGAATGCGGTAAATAAAAAAAAAGATGGCGCTAGGATAATAATTAAAAAAAAAAAATTGTAGTCTGCTATCTTTCGTAACGTTTTTTTTTTTATTAAGATGAAAAAATCAAACGATTGTTATATAATTATCGATGGATCGATTCGATTTAAGGGTTTTATTTAATATCGCGATATATCGAATCGCGTGGGGGGAGGGGTCATTTTTCGTCGCTCTCCGCGTACGATGATTGATTGAAAACAATTTTGTAAAAGGTGTGAAATTTAGAGCAAGTTTAAGAAAAAAAAAAAAAAAAAAAAAAAGGTTCAAATAAATGTTTAAGATTAAAACGGGATTATTAAAAGGGATCAAGGAAATCGAGTTTTTCAAGGTGTCGTTATTTATTTATTTATTTTTTGTCAAAGTGGATTTTCCGAAATGAAAAAAAAAAAAAATTTTATTTTTTATTTATTTTTTTTTTTTGATCTCGATTTTATCAGGGATAATTACGTGGTAGAGAGAATAAACGGGTAAATCTTGTAAAAAAAAGAAAAAATTTTCACCGTAAAAAAACCGGAAAAGCGACTTGCGATGGAGGAAAAAAAACTGAATTATTATTATTATTATTATTAACGTCATCATTACGACGTTTTTTTATAAAAATCGTGTGGAAAATTTTTTATTTTTTTTTTCGGGGGGGGGTGTTGTTACTTATTTCCGGTACCGCCATATATTATAAACAAGAAAAAATTAAATTTGAATTTGAATTTCCCGCGTAAAATTTAAAAGTTTTTTACATTTTTTTATTACTTTATTATTATTATTACTATTATTATTATTATTATTATTATTATTATTATTATTATTATTATTATTATTATTAGTATATTCCATATACGTTAGTACGATAATAATTTATTACGTAATTAAATATACGTTTTGTCCATTTTTTTTTTTTTTTGTATTTTGCAACGAGAAAAAAAAAACAAAATGAAATTTTCAAAATTTCCACGAAATGTTTTGCAACCCTTTGTGATAAAATGATAATAATAATGATAATGATGATGATAATAATAATGATAATAATGATAATAATAATAATAATAATATAAAATATGATAAAATTAAAATAGAAATTAAAATTAAAAGCTTTTTATTCGATGCGTCGGAAAATTTGCGTTTCAAAACGAACTAATCGTGGAATTAGAAAAAAAAAAAAAAAAAATTAAACCGGAAATGATTTCGTCCGTCGTGGTGCTTGTGACGCGTTTAAATTTATTAAAAGTCTCAACTCTCAACGTTTTATAACCTCGCCCATTCTTTATTCCGAAATAAAAAAATACAATTTTTTTTTTTTTTTTATCGACGTGTCATTAGAATTAAATTTTTAATAAGGAAAAAAAAAAAGTTTTTTTCTTTCACCCCGACACGATTTGTAAAAAAAAAAAAAAAAAAATCGATTAATTTTAATTGTATAGGAATTCATCGATTTCGAAAAAAAATTAATTTTTACCTTGACCGGAAGTAAAAAATTTAAAAAAAAAAAAAAATTTGGCGGGAAATTTTAAATTGCAATTTAAAAAAAATTTTTTTTTTTTTTGTTTTTTGTTTCGTTTGATAAGTTTTTAAGTTTCGGAAAAACAAGAACGACAAGGCAATTTTTTTTTTTTGTCGTCGTCAATAATTGAATTTACTGTGTGTCTTGTAATTGTTAGTGTGTGCGTGTATGTGCGTGTGTGTGCGTTCGCGGGGGGGAAAAGAAACCAGTTTTCGAATGCAGTAGAAAAAAAAAAAAAAACTTAATTTCAGGTCGTCGTCGTCGTCGTCTATTATTATTATTAAACTCGAGGCTAAATTTTTTGTCATTATTGCTCTTGTGGTCAATCACTCTCGTTCTTTTTTTTTTTTATCTTCTCCAGTTATTTATTAATATTATTATTATTTTGTTAAATTCCAGAGTTTGGAGATTTAGTGTGTGTTTCGTATCGACATAAATAAACGAAAACTTTTTTTTTTTTTTTTTCCCAATTTAAATCGCGTTTAAACGCGATATTTACCTTGACAACCTTGAAGTAAAAAAAAAAAAAATTTGGTCACGGATTTCAATGTTTATTTGCCGTATCAAACACACTATTTTTTTTTATTATTTTTACGGCAAATTAACCACCGTCATTTGTTTTCTTCTGCTTCTTCTTTTTATTAACCCGCGTAAATTTAAATTTTTTTTTTTTTTAAATCGAAATGGCGGAAATGGATTCGCATTGAATAATAATAATAATAATATGTGGCGTCGATTCAATTGTCTAGGGTATCCTCGAGTTAGGTGATGGTGGTGGTGGTTTAAATAAAAATCGAAAAACCCTAACCACCATTTCCTGTTTTCTAACCGTTTTCCAAATCGATTAATAAAAAAAACAAAATGGCGTCCGTCTTCTAAGCAATAATTAAATGCGCGTTGCTTTTCTTTTTTCCTCCTTTTTCCTTTCAATTTTAAAAAATATCAGAAAAATTGTTTTTGCAACTTGTTGGACTCCAAACAATAATAATAATAATAATAATAATAAATCAACAAATAAGTTAATAAGTTAAGTTAATAATAAATAAGTAAAAAAGGTCACCAAGATTTCATTTTATTTTATTTTTTTTTTATTTTTTGTGATTTGATTATGTAACTTGACATTATTTAACTTCAATAACAATTATTTTTTTTTTAAATTTATTAATAATTTTCTTTTTTTTTTTTTTTAATGGGAAAAATAACGTCCGACATTTTGCTTTTTTTTTAAACTCGTTAACGCCGACGCAAAATTTATTATTATTATTATTATTATTATTATTATTATTGTTTTTTTTTCGTCGTCGTCGAAACCTTTAAAAAAAAAAAATTTAAAGACAATAAAAATGTCTGTTCGGTTGTATAAAATTCTTTCTTTTAAGGACGTTTTTTAAAATTACCACGTCCTTGCCGCTTTTTTTTCTGATTTTCTTTTGCCACGTATAAAATTCGCGCGTCTTTTTTTTTTTTTTAAACAAAGTTTTAGTTTAGTAAGAGGGAAAAATGTCGATATTAAAACAAACATGAACACGATAAAAGGAAAAAAAATAATTATGCGAATTTAACTTATTTAAATCCTGTCGTTTATTTATATTATTATTATTATTATTATTATTATTATTATTATTATTATTATTATTATTATTATTATTATTATTATCATTATTATTATTATTTAACCTCGTTTTATTCACGTTTAAAGTCGGTTTTTTTGACTTTTTCAGATTTTTTTTTTTTTTTAAAAATAATTTTAAGGTAAAAAATTAAAAACGTTAATTAATCCGATTCGTGACTTACTGATATTTAAATTTAATTAATAAAAAAAAAAAAGAAAAAATCAGGTTTCAGGTTTTTACATAAAAAAAAAAAAAAAAATTTTCGGGTATCGCCAAAAACGAGCGAGTGAGTGAATGAATGAATGACTGACTGACTGACTGAAAATTCTTTTTGTTTAAATCGATTAAATCTCTTATCGCCACATAATTACAGGTACTGTTTAATTAAATCTTGAAATATTATCATAACGTACAGTTAGTTAATGAGTTAATTTTATTCGAACCAACGCCCCATTATTCCCGTGTCCCCCTACCTTCCACCCCCCCCCCATTAAAATTTTTTTTTTTTACGGTTTTTCTTTCGCAAGTGATCTAATAATTAATTATTAAGTCGATGGTGACACAATTACAAAAGCGCCTCAATTAATTTACAGTTTTTCATTCAAGGTCAATTTTTTTTCAGGCACAAAAATTCCGTTAAGTCACAATGGGCCCCGAAGTCAATCGATAAAAATATTTTTTTTTACAATTGTTTTCAGAATGATTCGATTCAAAACAATCGAGGAAGAAACAGGACCGTGATCGTTAAACGAAAAGCAGTACCCAGAAGTATCGAACCTAGTCTTTATGATATAAGTAATTCTAGTCCAAATCCAAACTTTAGGAGTCGTCAAAGGGGACGAACCAGGTACGTTCCCGATTCGCAAGTTGATTCTCAAACCAATAGTTTACGCACTTTGGAATTTTCAAGTCAAACGGATGCACCCGCGTTCGGGAGCAGAAGCGGAAGAAACAACAGGTTCAGAAACCAACCGGAAAACGATTCCAACGGGCACAATTTAGAGAGGAGCAAATCGGAAACAGTCACGAGAATAAATTATAACGGTGACGAACCTCAAGCCGGGAGAAAAATCGATTCTAATTACGTTTCGCAAAGATTTCAATCGAGAAGAAGGATAACGCCGGAAAGAAAACTCGGCATTTCTAACGACGACATATTAAACGGAGACGATCAATTACCTTTGGCCGATATAACCAACTATCAAAGTGCTCAGAGACCGGTTAACGTTATCAGAGGACGAAAGTTTTATGCGGAAAAACCTCAGGCCAACGTTCAAACCGAAAGGCCAACCGTTGACAGAGGTAGAACCAGGGCTTTTAGTACGAGGTATCAAAATACCCAACCGACCACAGAATCGCAGACGATTTTGGACCCAGATGTCAATAGAAGAAGCGATTTTGGATTTGCGGACCAGAAATTTAACAATAAAAATCGCGCCAATACCAGGTTCGATCAAATACAACAACCCAGGAGTGACGTTTCCCGTCAAAATTCTCAAAGAAATTATCAAGATTTAACGAGTGACGATGCCACACCTTTGAGCTCGCGTGGATTCGATCAAATTGTACCGAGAAACGATCCCGTTTCTTATTTCGGTCGAAATGAAGCCCTACCGAAAAACACAAATCGTCAAGCCTTTAGCCACGTGGGAATAAATGATAAAATCACATTATCAAACACCGAGGAACAAAATCAAATCAGATCTAGAAATGATGGCGGCGTACCTCCGAATTCCAGGAGATTTAATCAAATTAATTCTAGAACTGGAGCACAGTTTGCAAGCAGGACAAGATCTAACGAACAGTCGAAAGAAAGTAATTTCGCGCAGAATTTTAAAAATAACGACGAATCTTTGTCTAAACTTCCACGGCAAAATTACGACAGAACGATTTTAACACGTCAGAACGCTAATGCTTTGCCTTTGAATAATGACGTCACGTACTCACCCTCAACGGTAAACGATCAAGAAGCTTTACTGCAGAGCGTGCACGGAACGGACACGTTGAAAATCACGGCGATTCCTCCTCAGTTACAAGGACTCGGTCAAAATTCTCAACAAAACGATGCTCTATCTTCAAGCACGCAGGAATTCAGTCAAATAACGTCGCAAAATGACGTTTCGAATTCTAATCAGAAAAGATTAAACAGAATTATTTCTAGAAACGGTGGTGGTGGTGGTGGAATAAATTTATCGCGGAATCGTAATCAACCTGTCTCCAGGCAACCTGAAAACAATCAAGGAACTCCGAACGTGTCTTCAAGCCCTCAAGAACGGCAAAACGATTTTCAATCGAGAAACGAAGCTCTTGCATTTACCAGACGCCGAGGAGATGTAAAATCTAGAAATGAAATTAACGAACAAAGTTCTAATCAAGCAAGAAATAAAAATGATGATTCTGGTAGTACCGCAACTCAAGGTCGTTATCACATCAGATCAAGAAACAATGGTGGATTTTCAATAAGATACAGAGGGAACCAAGAAACGGAAAATCAACTTTCTAATAATTTAAATTCCGTAGATCCCAATCAGGTATTGTCAAATAACGCTTTCCAGTCTAGGAATGTACAGAGAATCGGTCAAATACCTGCCAGAAACGAGGCCTTTCAACAATCAGAAACTCCAAATAGAGGTTTGCCACGAGAGCAAGAATTAATTTCTACACAACGTCCTACATCTCGAAATGGCGGTACATACACTAGATCGAGAACTCGGGTGACAACCGGCACTGATTCCTCCATTTCAAACACGGAACAATACACTCAAGTTACTCCTCGAAACGATTTATTATCGAGGAACACGCCGAGATTTGGTCAGACTACGAGAAGAAACGAATCTCCCGTTTCTTTAACTCAGTCCAACAGTAATCAACCTTTACCATCAAGAAATGATGTTTCCGGCCGGCAAAAAAATAATGACGTAACGCCAAATTATGAATCATCTTATACTAGAGCTCCGGAGCAGGTCAATACCGAAAATGAAGCTTATTCTAGAAGTACTCAAAGATTCAATCTCGCCACTCGAAGAAACGATGTGGCTTTGTCATCTCCACAAACTTCTGATCGAGCTTCGTCCAGAAACGATGCAACACTTTCCAGTCGAAAAATTTATGATCAAAACACAAATATCGATTATTCGCTTGACAATAATCCGGAATTTAATCAGGGTACCGAACGTAATAGTGCTTTTAATACCAGAACCACTCAAAGATTTAATCAAATAATGCAAAAGTCCAATGCTGAACTTCCTCCAGTGCAATCTTTGAACCCGACAGTAATTCAAAATAATAACGAAAACGTGTTCTCTCGTAACCAGTTTAATAATCAAAATCAAAATTACGATTCGTTGAACTATAACACCCAAGAACAAAATCAAATTCAACCTCGTAAAGAAACATTGTCGAAGAACACACCAAGGTTTGATCAAGTCACTCCAAGAAGTGATGTAGAATTTTCCACTCCGCAAGTTGGGTTGAAAAATGATGGTTTAGTCGCTAATCGACAAAGACCTGATGAATTATCCAACGCTCCGGAAAATAATCCAGTGCCTTTGCGAAATGAAGTTTACACCAGCGGTAATCAAAGATTTAATCAAGCTACACGGAGGACTGATATTCCCACCAACACCAATCAACCCAATTTTGATGACGTATCACTAAATCGCGATTCTTCTTATTCCAACGCACCAGAGGTTAATCCAGCTACGCCACGGATCAATGCAAACTTTAGAACCACTCAAAGATTTAATCAGGCTACTCGAAGGGTTGATACTTCTTACAACAACCAACAAAATTTTGATGATGCAGCATTAGGTCCTGACTCTTCTTATTCAAACGCACCGGTAGCGAACCCAGTTACGTCACGAAGTAATGCAGACTTCAGGAGTACTCAAAGATTTAATCAGGGTACACAAAGAACTGACATCCCTTTCAATAATCAACAAAGTTTGGATGACGTATCATTGAACCCTGATCCTTCTTACTCCAACGCACCGGTAGTGAATCCAGTTACGTCACGGAATAATTTAGATTCCAGAAATACTCAAAGATTTAATCAGGGCACACAAAGAACGGACATCCCTTTCAATAATCAACAAAATTTTGATGACGCAGCGACTTTAAGTCGTGATTCTTCCAATGTACCGGAAGTTAATCCAGTTACATCACGAAATAACGTAGACTCCAGAAGTACTCAAAGATTTAGTCAAGGTACACGAAGGACCGATATTCTCAACACCAATCAACCCAATTTTGATGACGCAGCATTAGGTCCTGATTCTTCTTATTCAAACGCACCAGAGGTTAATCCAGCTACGCCACGGATTAATGCAAACTTTAGAACCACTCAAAGATTTAATCAGGCCACTCGAAGAGTTGATACTTCTTACAACAACCAACAAAATTTTGATGAAGCATCATTAGGTCCTGATTCCTCTTATTCAAACACACCGGTAGCGAACCCAGTCACGTCGCGAAATAATGCAAACTTCAGAAATGCTCAGAGATTTAATCAGGGAAGTAGAAAAAATGATGGTGATTTTTCTAATTACCAACCTTCCTCAAGAAACGATGGCTCTCCATCTCCTCGGCTCGATTATAAAGATGTTACGCCTAATTACGAAGAATCGCATTCTAGTTTTTCGGAAGCCAATTTAAATACTCCGCGAAATGATGTAAATTCACATAGATTTAGACAAGGTGCTCAGAGAAGCGGAGCACCTCCTTCTACTTCTCAAAATTTCAACCAAGCAACTGAAACCAGATTTGATCAGGACACCAGAAGGGGAGACCCCACATTTTTGCCTTCGCAAACCGATGATAATCAACCTACATCGAGAAATGTTGTTTCCAATCGACAAAAATATAACAACGATGCGACATCAAATTTTGAATCGTTTAACTCCAACGTTCAGGAATTTAATCAAGTGAACCCACAAAACGAACCGTACAACACGAGAAACGCACAAAAATTTAATCAAAACTCACGAAGAGGTGGAAATAGTTTTTCAACGTCAAGAACAAACAATCAAGATGCTCCAAATGAATTTTCTTTTCCCAGTTCACCTGCACTAAGTCAAATTACTTCAAATATTGATACCTCATTCGGAAGTGCACCCGTACTAAATGACGTGACACCGAGAAACGACGTAGTTCGCTCTACCACGCAATATTTCAACCAAATATCATCGAGGAATAAAGATTTTAATCCGACTGGATACGATGTCGAAATTTCAAGAAATGGCGATTCGCCTGTGAATAATCAAAGGCAGCAAATAGGAAATAATTATAGTCAAAAGAACGACCAGGTTTTTCCAGAGCCGAATCAAGTTTACTCGAGAAATAACGACGTAAACTATCAAAATCCGGAACAAGGGCAAAGTTTTTCAACGGAAGTGTATCAGTCTCCGGCTAGAACAACAACTAGATTTTCCTCACCGTTGGAAAATGAATTCGAATCCAATCAAAATTCGCGAGACAGCACCGGAAATACTTTAAACTCTCAATCATTCGTCGACGGTAATCAAAATATTTTACAAGGAAGAAACAACAACAACAACAACAACAACTACCACCGTTCTTCTAATTTCGGTCGCCAATTTAATCAAATCAAACCGTCGTTCGTAAACGACGACTCCCCTTCTTTGGCAGCAGACGATGGAAACGATTTTAGTACTCCCTTTTCTTCGTTGCAATCGGATGGTTCAACAGAAAACCCCTCGTCTCAAAATTTTGACAATAATTTAGATAGACCGTATAGAAGGCGTCAAGTAATACGAAAGATTGTTAATAATAATAATAATTCTCAGGACAGAAAACTCGAATCTGCTCCGGTAGAAAAACAAAATTTTAGAAATAATTTTAGAGGGAGAGGTGGGAGAACGGAAACATCTACAAAATCAAATTTCGAAAACGACGTTCCTTTAGACGGACAATATGAACGACAAACAGGAAGAAAAGATGCCGGATCAAATCTGCGAAACGGAGGAGGAGGTTTTACGGGACTTCCGGTCAATTTTGAATCTTCGACTATTTCGAACGAAGTGTCATTCAGTTCATTTACCTCTAGAAATCCAGAAGAACAATCATCATCCCCCCGATTCCGGAACAATAAAGAAAACGCACCTTTTAAAAATTCAGCATTTAGAAGCAGAGCGAGGTTTCAAACGGAAGCGCAAATACCAACGGAAGCGTTTACCGAAATCATTCAAACGGAAAACATACAAGATGGAGAAACTCAATTTCCGGCAACCGATAAACCAACAACGACATATAGAAACAATTTCAGAAGAGGTGGCAGACCTCAATTTTCAGGTCAATCAATCATAAATTACGAACCGGGATTCGAAAATAATAATAATAATAATAATAAGGACGATAACAAATATGACGAAAATTCGAACGCGTTGAATTTGAACGAACAAAACAATCAACCGAGTTTAATACCAAGAACCGTGACGCCCTCGCCATTCTCATCTACGATTCCAAAAGAATCTTCATCCACGTCGTTTACCGCAAATACCGCTTCGATAACAACAACAACAAGAACCACCACACCCAGAACGACGATCACAACTTCGGCAAGCATAACGACACCGACGTCTGTCGGTAAGAATCGCTCGGAGGAAAATTCCGAAGAATCACCCAATTACCCGAAAGAATTTTTAGAAAAATTAAAAACTACGAAAGATGTTTCGCCTCCTCCTAAAAATCAAGAAGGAAAACCTTCTTCGATCAACAGGAATTTAACCTTTAAAGAACAACTTATATCATCGATAAACGAAAGGAGTCATAAGACGACGCAAAAACAAACAACAATCGCATCGTCTCCTCCGACGTTTTCTGCAACGGTTCCAAGATTAAATTCGATTACGACGGAAACGGTTTTCGAAGCGACGGAACCCATGACGGAGAAAAAATCAACATTTTCGACGACTCCGTCATCGAGAAGAAAATACAGTCAATCGTTTTATAGAAAGTTGGCAGAAAAGACATCCTACAGTTCTCAACCTCGGAGCGGTACGGACTCGCCGAAATCCGCCGAAGGGGATGATAATCCGACGGAAAGTAAAAAATCAGCCGGAACCGGAAATTCATTCAGAAAAAGTTTTAAATCTTTTACGAACAAACCATTATCGTTTTCCTCATTGGTCGAAAGTCGAAACGATCAATCGAACGTGAACGAAGAAAGACGAAGATTCGTACCGAAAAATAAAGTGTCACAAGAAGAGAGAAAACAAAGAATCGCTTTGCTCAAGGAAAAACTCAAAGAAACCAATTCGAAAGAGTCTTTAGTGTTTCAAGCAAACACGTATCCGGTTCCGGATTTGACGGGTTTCACGATGTCGGGAGAACCACAATTTGCCGCTTTGACTTCTGTATCGACACCGGATTCGTACACGGATGAGAATCCCGTCACGGAAACCGTAATACCCACGACGAAATCAAGCGAAGAATCATCCACATCGGAAGAATCCGATAAAAAATACGATCTCATTACATTGGGAACGGAAAATAAAGTGACCGTTATTTACGTTGGCAACAATTCCGTTAACACTTCAGCTTTAACGGAATTGTTTCCGAGCACGACGTCAACTCAAAATTTTGAATCTTCGTCGACGACGACGACGACGACGACAACAACAACAACAACAACTCAAAAACCGCAAAATGAAGTCGACAGTTCGTCGACGACTGAGGGATTTTCAATAATTGTAAGTACATCACAATCCCTTTTATTCATTTTTTTAAAAATTAAAACTCTTAAAAATTTACGACAAAAAAAAAAAAAAAATTTCAGAACGCGACATTATTTCCATCGACACGTCATAAATTTTCTGCCAGATTGAATTCAACTGCGAGTGTTACGCAAGAATTATCAAAAATCGTGACGGACGTTCCATTATTTTCAAGTACGGAAAAACCAGTCTCAACGGTAAGTCGTGCAAACCTCCATTTTTTTTTTTTTTTTTTTGTACTAAAATTGAATGTTGTACTTATGTAAAAAAAGACAAAAAAAAATTTTCTGACACTTTAAAATTCTTTTCCGATCTATAACCTTCTTAGGTTTGTTTAATTTGAAAAATGCTAAAAAAAACTATTTGCAGGAATTACCGGGGATAATATCGATTCAAAGTTTATTTAACGCTTCTATTAATTCTTCGAAAGCGTCTTTAACTTCTTCAAATTCTTCCGACGAAAACACCAACACCGTTGTTACCGACACTCTTCCTCCCGTCGCCGTATCCACTTCGCCAACTTCCGTTCCGAACGCATCGTCGCAAACGACCGCGTCGTCCAAACGTTCGAACGCCAAGAAAAAATCATCGGGTAGAAAAAAATCGAGCAAAAAAAAATCAAAAGGGAAAAATTCGAATAACGGAGCAAGTCAAAAATCCGGTTCGAACGATGCGAAATCGAATATAAAAAATGTTAATAATAATAATAATAATGATAATTCAACAACGGTAAGACCCGCAGAAGTAACCTCCCCTACGGGAAAATCAAATAACAACATCACCAATGTACAGCTGCAGCCCTTACCCCTCGCTTTATTGAACATAGAAACAATTATTAACCAAACTATGGAAGTTGTAAATAGTAATCCAGTGACGAGTCCTCAATCGGGTCTGATAGCTCCAAGGTCGGAATTAAACGCTCTTACGCCGCAAACGATTTTAGAAAGGGAAGGGGATGAAGAAACGACGACGCCAAGAGCACGATCGACCTTTCCTTCAAACACTAATTCTAACGATAACTCTACTAACCTAACGGAAGGTACCAGATTCGAGTCCGATGTAAATTGTATCGGTGAAAGTTGTAAAAATGCATCGTCTCAATACCTGTACCTGGGTAACGATGAATCCGTAAAAAACAGGCACGGTTTGTCTTATTCTAGGTATAGGGGAACAACGAAATCACCCGAAGCCTTGAGGAAAATTTTCATTTTTGGAATTTTCCCCAATAACACGGTGCAAAAAAGACCGTTTCCCAATTCCGGGGTAGTCGAACGTCAAAGGTATAACGATTACATTACGAGGCGTCCCACGTCACCCCCCTACATGACTCCCGATTACGACGTTTTCGGTGTTTATCCCAACAATAGCGTCGTGAGAAGACGCGGATGGAAAGCGTTCGATTACGAAAAGTATCGAAGTCCTTACATCATTTTCGGAATATACCCGAATAATACGTTGATTAAAAAGTATCCCAACGGAACGACGATAAATGACGAATTTATGATATCGGATAATGAGATAAAAAGGGTGCCCGAGTACAATCATCCGAGAGGATGTCTGTGCAAGGAAAATAATGCGGGCAACAGCGTTGCCACTTCTTCATTTTCTTCTACTACTACTACTACTACCACCACCACCACATCAAAGACCGTAGAAACGACGAGCGTGCCATCATCGACTCCTCAATTTATGCAATCGATTACGACGGAAAGTGGACAGAGAGAAGATGATGAAAGTACTGAAGAATCGGAGGATAGTACCGATGATGACGCTGAAAATATAGATTTATCAACCATAGGAGAAAATGAATTAAATGATGATAATTCAAGCACAGCCACGACACCTTCCGACGCCAATGATGATGAAAGCGAAGAAGAAGAAGAAGAAGAAAGTGATGAAGAAAATGATATAAGTAATGGTGATTTCACGACAACGTCTCAACCGGGATCATTGAACGAAGTCGAACCGACTGAAAATTTCTATGATTCCACGACCAGAGCGTACGAAGGAGAAGAAGTTGAAAGTTCAACCATTTCTCAAGAAGAGAATTATGAAGACAACACGACTAAAGCCGTACAAAAAGGTGATGAACTGGAAGAATTAGAAAATGCAGAAGACGCAGACAATGCATCCACACCGAAGAGTAGTTCAGAGGAAAGTACCACCGTAGCTTACGATCAAGAATCGTTTTCAAATGGAGAATTGAACGATGATAATTTATCAACGTTTACGGAAAAAGAACCTTTCGAAGGATTGGCCGATGCCGAACGAGAAGATGATGAAAAACTTACAGGTACGACGCAGACATCAATAGAATCATACGATGGAATTTCCGAACAAGAAAAGGGCGATGAAGAGAGTTTAGGATTAGGTGAAACAACAACAGCCAAAAGCGAAGGTGAGTTTGAAGCAACGGAAATCAATACGGAAAAGACTGAAGACGAATTCGAAAGAAATCAATTATTAGGTTCCGTAACTACGGAACAACCAGAATTGTCGGAACGACAATCCACGCCCAGCGATATCGAAGATTTTCAAACGGAAAACACAACACCATCATCTGCCAATAATTCAGAAGATAATAATTCATTGAGCAATTTACTTGATAGGCCAGGAACTCTGGAAGGAAGTACGACTCAAAATTATGAAACCGTAACAGAAAGCTCAACAATCCCTTCACCGGGTCAAAATTTGGAAATGACAACGCAAAAACCAGAAACTCAAGAAGGCACTGATGAAAATGAATCGCAATTGGATTCGGACAATTTAGTGACAAATACCGAAAAAACGGAAACTCAACAGAATTCGGTGGAAGAGGAAAACTTTTCCATAGATTTGGGTTTCGGATTAGAAAATGTCGAAAATGATGAAGTTACATCTAAACCGGTTACTACGCCTCAACCACCACAAGATAATATTTTAAATGAAGAAGATTTAAAAGAGGTACAAGTATTGAAAGAATTATCGAACAAAGGTAGCGACGGAGAATTCGTTGAGGATTCCAAATCTACGACGCCACCGAGCGTAAATGAAAATAACGAGGAAGATTATGTAGAAATAACAGAAAGCACAAAACCTCAAACGGATGTCGATAATCCAACAACGCCATCTAGCCTTAACGAAAGCACCGAAGCACCCGAAGTAGAAAGAGTTGTAGAAATAACGGAAAGCACAAAACCTCCGACAGACTTTTTACAATCAACAACTCCGTACAATGCGGATGAAAATGCTGTTTTTAACGATGATGAAGAAAGGGTAGTGGAAATTACAGAAAGCACGAAACCACCCTTAGATTTACCACCACCATCGACCACTCCTTCAAGTGTCTACGACGAAAACACAGTCGGACCTAACGAAGATGGCGTCGTAGAAATAAAAGAAAGCACGAGGCCGAATTACGACTTCCCGCAATCAACGACCCCGTCGCCATTAAGTGATGCCACAGAATCACCGGATGCCGAAAGAGTCGTTGAAATCACGGAAAGCACAAAATCACCTCTAGATTATTCAGTATCCACAACTCCTTCGGGTCTATACGAAAATGAAATTTCCACCAACTACGAGGGAATCGTAGAAATAAAAGAAAATACCGAGCCGCAGTTAAATTTCCCATTTCCCACGACTCCATCGAACCTTGTTGAAAGCACAAACGAGCCTGATGCGGAAAGGGTTGTAGAAATAACCGAAAGCACAAAATCTCCCTTAGATAATTCTATTCAGTCCACAACCCCTTCGAGCGTGGAAGAAAATTCAGTTTCTTACGAGGATGAAAGAGTTGTAGAAATTACCGAAAGCACTAAACCCCCCGTAGATAGTTCTATTCAATCCACAACCCCCTCAAGTGTAGACGAAGGTATAGTGTCCTACGATGACGAAAGGGTTGTAGAAATTACCGAAAGCACAAAACCTCCCACGGATAATTTAATACAAACAACAACCTCACCGAGCACGGGTGAAAATTCAGTTTCTTTCGACGAAGAAAGAGTTGTAGAAATAACCGAAAGCACTAAACCACCGCTCGAATCTAATTCCGTTCAATCGACAACGTCCTCAAGTTTGGACGAAGGTACAGTATCTTACGACGATGAAGAAAGGGTAGTGGAAATTACGGAAAGCACGAAACCACCCTTAGATTTACCACCGCCATCGACAACTCCTTCAAGTGTATACGACGAAAACACAGTCGGACCTAACGAAGATGGCGTCGTAGAAATAAAAGAAAGCACGAGGCCGAATTATGACATCCCGCAATCAACCACCCCGTCGCCATTAAGTGATACCACAGAATCACCGGATGCCGAAAGAGTCGTTGAAATCACGGAAAGCACAAAGCCGCCATCAGATTTTACAGAATCGACTACCCAACAAAGCGTTTTGGAAAACGAAAATGACAAACAAACGGTTGATGTACAACAACAACAGCAGCAGGACCAACAACAGGAAATTGTCTTTTCGCAAGAAGAAAATTCTGAAGAAGAAGAAGAAGAAGGTGAAGGCGGCGTGGATTTGAGTGAAGAGGATCAAGTCGTAGAAATAAATGAAAGTACAAAACCCGTTGGTGACGTCACCGGAAGTAACGAACAAACGGAATCATACGATTACGAAACCGAACAAGGGGGAGAACAAGGTTACGTTTACGAAAAACCCATCGGCGGTGAATTATTTACCGTCGAAGATTATTCCTATGAAAATAACGATGAAGAAAAACAATCGGAAGAATTTTACGAAACGGGTCGTACGACGACGGGTCTCGATGAAGACACATCGGAACCTTTTACCGTAGATGGTGAAACCGACGACGACGACGACGACGACGACATTCAATCAAAGAAATTCGATGTCAATACAGAAGATATAAAAACGGTTGCAAATTGGATATCGGATACGTTCACTTCCGGTTACGATCAAAAGAAAAGAGAATCATCATCATCATCATCATCATCGATCGATAGCGAATTGCAACCCGCGACAAAAAGTTACGCCACCAAATTGTCGACAACATCAACATCAACATCAACATCGGATCTTTTGACTTCCCTCTTTCCAATAAGTGTAGAATACATACAATCATCGACGGCACAAAACAGCGTTAAAAAGAGACAACGGGTAAACAATATTTGATAATAATTTGATAAAAATCCTTTTAAATCCAAAAAAATTTTCCCTTTTCGTTCGCACACCGGAAAACCTTTTCTATTATTATTCGCTTGTACAAAAACCTTTTTGCATGATTCTTTTTTTTTTTCCAGCCTTTTTTTGCTTTCTGAATTTGTTGATGACAATAAAAACACGCACACACGCACGCACACGCACACGCGCACGCACTCTGGGAATACTTTTGTACCTTTTTTTTTTTTTCTCTTTTTCGGTTTTTCTTTGGTTCTTTTTACTGATACACTTTTACTACTCACACTCGTGGGATTTTCCTTTCAACTTTCTTATTTCTTAAGCACGATTATTGTACAGTTTTATCCAATAACAAAATATGTGTATGTGTGGTAGTGAGTAAAAAAGTAAAAAAGTTTGTCTCTCAATTTACAGAGAACGACAAAAGACGAAAATGAAACATCGAGTTTAACCAACTTAGCTTACCGTGCACTGGTGAGTTATCACTTTTTGTACTACGACTAATTTGTCCTCCTCCTCCTACTCCGGTCATTATTCTTTCTTGCAATTATTTAAAACACGTGGCCATCACGTGGTGTCACTGTGAGCACGCGTCACACGTGGTCTCATTCTGTAAAAGAATAGAAAAATTTGTTACACCAAAATCGCAAGAGGGAATAATGGCCCCCCACGCATTCCCCCCCCCTCGAGGTAAATTAAGCAGAGAAAAAAAAAAAACGTTTCAGAGTTCGTCAAACGATTCACCGATTCCAATCATGACGACGGCGACGTTGAGGACTACCCCTACTACTACCCCTTCTGCTGACACGACAACGATTATTATACCGACGTCATCGTCGCGAATAATCGAAACGAAAAAAGTTAAAAATTTATCAACGACAAGCGTGAAAGCTTATCAAACTATGACAAATATAATGACGTCAACGCCCGTACCCGAAACGGTTTTTATCGTGACACCAGAATCTAAAGCAACCGAAACGGTTGTCTCGGATTCGGAAACGAAAAGGGGTAAAGTCAAATTCGTGACGCTTAAACCTGGTTACGTCATAACAACAAACGTTGAAAATGATAATGAAATTATGACGTTATCATCGCAACACGTTCAGAAAGTAACAAAGGCTCCGGCCCAAATCCCTGAGAATTTTCTAACGACGGTGGTGAGTAAATCCTTACCGAAAAATGAATAATAATAATAATAATTAAAGCGAGAGAGTGAGAGAGAGAGAGAGAGAGTATCGAATTAAATTTTTTTTTTTTAAACCGTTTTTCTTTAGTTTGATGATATTGAAGAAAGAACGTCATCACCGATACCACCGGGGATATTAAAAAATGCGGGTAAAGAATTACCTGCGGGAGACGGACTAAGCGTGGCACTAGCAAGAAGGGTATACACTTTTCTTTTTTTTTACATTCTGTCCTCGTCCGCCATTTTCTTTTTTATTTAATAATTTTTTTTTTTTTTTTTAGATAATATCGTTGGCTTTAGAAAGAGCCATAACGAATTCGAAACAACAACAACAAGTGGGGAGAAATTCGAAAAAAACCAACAACGACAACCTCATTCAAAATCTTTCGAATGTTGAAACGTTGGAAAAACGTTTTTCGTCGTCCACGTTCAAACCCCAATTTTCCGGCGTGGCTAAAAGAATTGTTGTAGGTTCTGCCAAAACGGCAACGTCGACGACTACAACGACGCCGACGACAACAACAACAACAACAACGACGGTGAAACCTACAACCACGACGACGACGACGACGAAGAAACCTACAACCACGACGCCAACTACAACCACGACGACGACGACGACGACGACAACTACACGGAAACCCAGGCCAGTTTTCATCAAAACAAGTCCTAAAACGTTTTTAAGGTTCACGAGTCCGAGAGGATACTACAAATCAAGATCGAAAACAACGGCGGAAACACCCGAAAATCAACAAATAACTTTAGATTTAGCAAAAGCATTATCAGACATACAAGAGCCAATCATATCAAAGAATTCCATTCAAAAGAATACGAAATCGGGAACGGTGAAAACTCAACCGGAAGTTGATACATTGAAAATTTTATTTTCAAACGATAAAAATTCATCACCGACTCATAATCCTCCAAACAATCAACAGGTATGAGAGAGACGTTTTAAAAAATGATTAAAAGAAAAAAATTATTAATTACGATTTGTGTGTTTGTTTTGTCGCAGATCACGGAAGATTTAAACGCTCTTCTTTCCGGTTTGTGGCAACCGTCACCGACGTCGACGACAAAGTCAAAATCAAAATCTCAAGTGTCATTCATCGAAGCCAATAACGTGACGCCGAGCGGAGGTCAAAGAGTCGTCAAAACGGAAAAAATTACACTTCCAAAAACGGCATCGGATTCATTGAGCGACAGCGATTTGAAATTACTCGAAGCCATTTTAACTAAACAGGGAGCCGAGGGAGCAGAAAAAGATTTCCAACAAATCGTTCAAAATCAAATAAGGCTCGCCGTACGTGAAAAACCTTTTTTCTATAAACCTTAAACCTTTCGAATTTACAAAAAAAATTTTCTTGTATTTGAACCTTTTTTCAATTAACAGGAAGAAGTGAGAAAAGCGAGTAGAAACATAAAGAAAAAACAAAAGGCACCGACGACGACGACTCCGAAACCTACTACGAGAGGTCGACTCAGTTACCTTTTTAACATATTGGGTGGGGGAAGAAGGCAAAACCAACCCATTGTAAGTTTAACTTGTGCAACTTGTCGTACACGCGAGTATTGCAAATAAAGTAAACGCGTAACGATGGGGGGCTGTCTTTTACCCCCCCCCCCCGTTTAAATTAATATTATTATTATTATTATTACTTTTTTTTTTTTAAAGGGAATAAAATTACCTAAAAGGATACCGAAAACGCGTGCGAATCAAAACAGCAACAGTCATCCAGATCCTATCAACGATTTCGTAAGTTTTTTTTTTTTTTTTTTTTTTTCTAAAAATTTTAAAGTGATTTGAAAAGAAAAATGAAAAGGTTACTTTTCTCGTAACAGGACGAAGGATCTTTGCCTCCATCAGATCGAACGGCGAGAGGAGAATTAGTTTCAGCTGCCATTGACGTCACAAAAGCCGTTTCGAAATTTATGGGAACCGTATTTACGGTAAGACAGAGAGAGAGAGAGAGAGAGAGAGAGAGAGAGAGAGAGAGAGAGAGAGAGAGAGAGAGAGAGAGAGAGAGAAATTACGTATGAAATCCATGTAAAAAAAAAATTTTTTTTTTTCGTTCCAGAACGCCGCTCATTCGTTTCAAAATTTCGTACGGACTTTGGGAAGTTAGCGAACGTCCCCCCTTCCCACTTTTCCACTCTCCCCCTCTTCTCACCCCTCTCCTCCTCACTCCTCCCGCTCCCGCTCCGCGCGCACGCGCAATTTATTAACAATAATTTAATTAATGTCTTTCTATTTTCTTTAAAAAAAAAAAAAAATAGTCATTAAATAACAATTTTTAAGTAACGTTTCTTTTATACCTTTATTATTATTATTATTATTATTATTCATTAGCGTCGTAGTCGTCGCCATTATCGTCATCATCACCATCATCATCATCGTCATCGTCATCATTACCATCATCGTCATCGTCGTCACCATTATTGTTATTATTATTATTATTATTATTACCAATTTATTATTTAGTTTATGTATTAAAATTAATGACTCGCCATTTTGCATTAAAATAATAATAATAATAATAAAAAACCATTTCCTGAAAAATATACTCAATTACGTACTAAAAAAAAAAAAAAAAACAATAATAATAATGATGATGATGATGATAATAATAATAATAATAATAATAATAATAATAATAATAATAATAATAATAATACTGATAATAATAATTTAGTTTTTTTTTTTTTTTTTTTTTGGTTTAAAATTTTTTTTAGTTTTTTAAGTTAAAACGTAAGATTTATAAATATAAATATATATATAAATACGTACATTATAAAATAATTTTATTTTAAATAAAAACATTTTATTATTATTATTATTATTAATATTTTTTTTTTTTAATGAACCCCAGCGCAATCTATCGGAATTTTTTCGAAATTTTTCTTTTGTTTTAATCAACGGATAAGCGAAAAGAAAAATTTATTTATAACGTCTAACGATTAATGATAATGATATTTTTTTACAATGATACGACAACGTAACCTAACCATCATCATTATTATTATTATTATGTTTTACTATTCTTACATTGTTTTTTTTAATAATTTATTTTTTACGCAACGACGACAACGCGATTAAACGTGAAATAATAATAATAATAATAATAATTAAAAAAACGTTTTCGATTCGTTTTTTTTTACGTAAGCAAAACATTATTTACGTTGAGTCTGGAAAAGTGACTATGCCGGAAGGTGGGAAATACCAAGTTTTGTATAAACTAAAAACTAAACTAAACAAGAATAAAAAAAGGTCTCTAAACTTATGATTCATTTAAAAAAAAGTTTTCAAGTTTTAACAATTTATTCCGGTCGCCATTAAAAAAATCGATAAATCGATCGATATATCGATACATCGATCAATCGATATAACAAATAAACTTTCGAAAAACCGAACGGGGAAAAAAATTTCAAAATTTTCTTCCCCTTTCTCCCTCTCTCTCTCTCTCTCTGCTCTGTCCCATTCCTCTCTCTTCGATTTCCTCCACTTCCCCCCTTCCCCTCCCTTCTTTTCAAAGGTCAAGGGTTCATTTCTTAAAAATAATAATAATGATAATATATTTGTATGCAACGGGAAAAACAAGTAAGAAAAAAAAAAAAAAGACATACACACACAAAAAAATTAAATTGACTAAATTTTACATTAAAAAAAAAAAAAAGAAAAAATCTGACATTAAAACACATAATAATAATAATAATGATGATGATGATGATGATGATGATAAATTCTCAAGTCGTGAATATTGAAAAACCTTCAAAGGTCGCTTCGTAAGAGAGAGAGAGAGAAAGAGAGAGATAGTTTATTCTTGGATTACACACACACACACACACACACACACACCTAAAACGAGATTCCAAGTATGTGAGGAGTCACACCCATGGCCGACCATAATCTTTTAGTTTGAGTGTGCGCGTGCGCGTGCCTGTGCCCCTGCCTCTAATTATGCTTGGAAAAAAAAAAAAACCGTTTATTTTTAACATTACCGTAAATAAAAATACGAAATCTTTCGACCATCCATCCCGCGTGTGTGCGTGTATACGTTCGTACATGCACGCAAGTAAGAAAAAAATAATAATAATAATAATAATAATAATAATTTTCAAAATGGCGTACGAATGTGTGAATATTATGTTTTTTATAAGTTTTTTAGGTCGCGGTATTTTCTCACTCACTTATACTCGCATTCACCAGTCATTTTTCTCTCTCTTTCTTTCTTTGCCCGCTACGATAAAAGTTGACCGCCATTTTATATTATTATTATTATTATTATTTCGTTTCGTTTTTTAATTTTGGCAATCCTGAATTTTTTTTTTTTTTTTTTTTTTCAAAAATACGACAAGATGAAATCCTCAATAAATACGAAAATAATAATAATAATTATTATTTTAAAAAAATTATAATTAAACAAACAAAATGGCGGAATTTATAAATTAATAATACGTCATCATCATCATCATCATCATCATCAACGAAAATTTGTAATTAAAAAAATAAATGCCGCGGCGGTGATTTTTTTTTTTTTTTTTAAACAAATTTTAATTTTTTAATTACGATCGAATATCATGTATGATAGTCGTGGAAGCAGATGACAAACGACCTACTTCGACGTTGAAAAAAAAAAAAAAAAAATTTTTTTAAATTTCAATTACGTTGCGTTATGCTACTCGTTATTGAATATTTAACCGCATGAAAAATAATAATAATAATAATAATAATAATAATAATAATAATAATAATAATAATAATAATTTGGGGAAATCAAAATTTTTTTATTTCGAAATCTAATTCCACGTTAAAATTTTTTAAAAAAAACCTAAAAATTAATAATAACCACGATAAAAAATTTAAATTTTATTGATACTTTTCCCTCTTTTCTCTCTCTCTCTCTGTCTCTATCTTTCTCTCTTTTCAATTTTAATTTTTTTAAATTATCCCACGGGAAATTTGCACGTGCACGCACATGCACACGCACACGCGTACATATATATTACAATTTATTTATTTATATATTTAATTAGGATCATAATGGAAAAAAAATAATATATACATATATATATATATATATATATATATATATATATATATATATATATATGTGTATGTATAACTTTTCGAGAAAGGTATACTCGTGCGCGCGAGTTTCATTCCGAAACGAATTAAATCAAAATTATAAGATCACGTGGTCATGATCTCACCCACGAACTTATATAATTATTTATATCCATTCCGTGTATTATTTTTTACTTTTTTTTTTTTTTTTTCAAACATCCTTGTGAAGGATGCGTGTGTGAGTGAGAGAACGAGAGAGAGAGAGAGAGATGGAAAATATGTGAGTGTGTGTGAGAGAGTGAGAGAGAGAGAGAGAGAGATAGAAAATATGTAGTGTGTGTGTGTGTGTGTGTGTTCTTCACACGTTTTCGATTAAGATTATTATTATTTTTTTTTTTACAAATTAAAATTTCTAGAATTTTCTTTCATTTTTCATCTATTTTTTTCTTCTCCCTCCGAACCCTCCTTATCCCCTCCCCTATCATCCCTTTCTCTTGACTTTCCCCTCCCCCCGGTAACATCTCATCGATTTTTTTTTTAAACCAACTTGATTCTTTCATTTCAAAAAAAAAAATGGCGGAAAAGGGGGGTAAGTAGAAAAAACAAAAAAAAAAAAAATTAAAAATGGCGGAAAATAAGATAAATAATAATAATAATAATGATTGCACGTAAACTTGTGTTTTGAATTTAAAAAAAAAAAAATGAGGAAAATGACTTTTTGAAAAAAAAAAAAAAAACAGAAACGGGATTTAATGGGTAAGATAAAGATTAAGAAAAAAAAGACGTGGAATTAGAATGGTAATTAAAATTCGTAATTTTTTTTTTGTAGTTCAAGGTAGTTCAAGGTAGTTTTTAAGTATGGAAATAATTAAGGCAAAAGGTTTTCTTTTTTTTCTTATCGTTTATCAAAAAAAAAAAAAAAATTTAGAAAAAATCAGGTCGAATAGGGAAAAACGAACGTCGATGACGTAATAATAATAATAATAATAATAATAAAATTATTAATGACGTCAAATTTCGTATCGAATCATCATTACCCCTTGCCCTCCCCCCGCCGACGGTTAGAAAATTATTTCATAGAGTAAAAAAAAAAGGAAAAATTTTTTTGATATCGCATAATATTAATAATAATAATGATATTTTTAACTAAATCAAAAACCTCACGAATTTACATCTTTATCTCTCTCTCTCTCTCTTCTGCCACGTTAAACCAATTTTTTAAAAAAATGATTCTCGCATACGACCTTGGTTAGTTTTTTTTTTTTTAATGGCTCTCCAACTTATCTCTCAAGACATTATTACTGGAAATTCTGGAAGACATTTAAAAAGTTTCAAATGATTCAAAAGCAAAGCAAAGCGAAGCGAAAAAAGTTGTTCAGTTGAATAATAAAAAAAAAATTTAACATAGAACGATTTTATACGAAGGTTTTTTCGTGACGTTTCGTAGGTACACGAGAAGCCTGAACATAAAATTGTTCAGACCCTATAAACTCGTTCTCGATAGTTGCGAGAAAGTCGATTTTGTGAATACAACCCGCGAAACGGTATATTCAACCGAGAGAGAGAGAGAGAGAGAGACTTTAATAAAAAAAAAAAATATTTTTTTTAAAAAATGTGATTTATTTATTATTATTATTGTTCGACGCAAAAAAGTTCTAGAAAAAAAATACGCACTCACGCACGCACGCACACGCACGTACACGCGCACGTACCTTATTTTTTATTTAAATTAAAAATTCTAATAAAAAAAAAAAAATGAGCACGGCCGTAAGAACGAATTTTTTACGAGAAACGGTAAGTTATTAATCTATTTATTTATTTATTTAATAACTTATCATTATTATTATCATTATTAATAAATTATTATTAATATTATTATTATTATTATTATTCGTAAAAAGTTAATAATTTTATTTTTTTTTTTTTAAACGGGAAATAAAAACGCGAGTATGCGTAAAATTTTCCGTTAAACTTTTCTAAAAATTTTCTATTTTTTTATTTAACAATTATCATCATTATCATCATCATCATCATCATCATTATTATCATTATTATTATTAT